TTGCGTACTTCTTGGGGTAAATGCATGCATAACCGTCGCAACAACTCCACTAAACATGAGGTCCAACTTCTCTAGGTCCGGCTCAATGCCCCACTTACCTTGAATGTTTTGGTAGTTGGCCCTACCTGCAACGTGCGGGAAAGTATATTAGTTAAAACAGATTAATTATTATCTCCAACTTCTTATTTAGGAGTTTACTTATTACCTCCAACTTCTCATTTCATCAATCCTCTTAAGCATCAATGATTCTCTTGATAGGATCCCAACCCAAACCTGTGGATCCTCATTTTAATTTCTTCCATAATTTTCAGTCCTTCTTTAACTGATCTCACTTGTTTTTAAATTTTAATGTATCGTAGTCCCTTTCTGTCATTTCATGGATCTTCTTCGTAATATTTTGTCACCCTTCTTTGTTAAAGTAGATGGTGAGTCTATTTTCAAGCTCAATCTTCTTAATACAGAGGTTGCAAAATATGATTGTGATTTTCCTATCCCACATTGTCAGTGAACCCATTTCTTTGGTCTTAACGTTAATAATAAAAGAAATGGATTAAGAAAGAAATTGATATAGCCAGTCAAACAGAAAACAAGATAAAAAAGAAAGCTCCAAGAAAAACAAACCCATAAACTCAAAAAAAAACTAAAAACCAAAACAAGAAAACACAAGAACGAAAATCTATTAAAAATTTCAATCCAAAATGTGTTGATGATGATAATGATATAAAAAGAACGAAAATCTCAACATCTTCATGATTTTTTCCATCCTGCATATTTGATTTTAACCACAAACCAATCCCAAGACAGCCATCAACCCGGCAAAAACCACCCCCCATCACAGCTCCATCATAAGCCTCACACAGCCACAGCCCAATCCCAAGACAGTCACCAATCAGGAAAAAACCACCCCCTATCACAACCATAGCCCACCCCCATCGCAGTTCCATCACAACCGTCACACAGCCACAACCCAGTCCTAAGATAGCCACCCACCAACTAGGCAGAAACCACCCCCCATCACAGCTCCATCATGACCCAATGCATATCCATAAGAGCCCTTTCAACACAGGAAATCTCCCACATGTTTGTCCCAAAGAATGGCATTTGATCTAGCTACTAGAGCATAGTCTTTATTAACTGATTATGACGGGCAGAAAATATCATAATAGCTATGAAAATGGGCTAACATTAGATAATGCAGCATCAAGATGGTAAGTCAGCTTGCATCACTAACACACCCAACCAAAGGCAACAGTAGAGTTTCATATTTTCAAATAAATCTAATTAATCGAAAAAAAAGTTGACCGACACGCATGTAGACCAAAATGCTGCAGTGAAATGTTGCTCTTTGGTAGCACATTTAAGAGAGAGACACACACATCATGCTTTTATAACTGCATTTGCCAATATATATTATAAATTCAATATTTGAATTATTGCTTCCATTAAGTACGAAAATTAAAGTCTGAAAAACATTCAAAGCCAATTATTTCCAACATCCAACATCCAACCAAAGGCAGCATTCGAGAGAGAAAGCGTAAAAAGGAGAAAGCCAGAAAGTCACAGAAAAAAGACATTTCTTCGAAATTCACCACAAGAAAGAGCATGATATTACTCACAAAATACTGCAAACTTCTCACTGCAAAGGAGAAAGCCAAATAAATTCACAGAAAAGCCATTCCATCGAAAATCACCATAAGAAAGACAACAATATTACTTACAGAGCACCACAACCACGAATCGCAGAGAGGAGTAGGAGAGAGGCAACAATCGAGAAAGATGCGTGAGAGAGCCGCGTGCAAGGGTGTCCTTGTTTAGGGATCGAAGCCACGGGATGAGGGCAAATGACACAATTGAAGAGGCACCTAGGTCATGAGAAGAGGCCAAGCTCGACAGGAGGACAGAGAGGTAAGAAAATTCCTCAAAACGGCATGGCTGCATTTTGAAAACGCAGACGCGGCGGATAAGTTGTGCCAAATAGTGTCGTTGGATGATGAGAATGCATGGGTGGATGAGTGGCTTGACACTTAGAAACAAAATGCAAAACGAATATATTCGTGACAGGGTTGGTGTAGCTCCAGTGGCAGAAAAATTAGATGGATTCGTCTTAGATGGTTTGGTCACACTAAATGTCAACCATCTAATGATTTGGTTAGGATGATTAGATATTTTAGATTCGACTTATGTTATGAAATGCAGAAGTAGACCTAAAAAGATTTGGTCATATTGTATAAAAGATGATCTTAATGAATGAATATATGACACTCAATAAGACACAATGGAGAAATAGATCCATATAAATGACCTTACTTAGTGGAAAGGCTTGCCTCTATTGCTATTGTTGTTGTTGTTGTTGAACATTATGCAATATCCATCTAAATCAAGAAAAAAGCATACCTCCATAACATTTTTCGAAGTCAGCTTTCCACTATTGCTTTCAACTTTTGAGGATCTACCTAGATTCTTTGGTCACTGATAATGTGCCCCAAGAATGCAATAATTTACAGCCAAAAGTTATATGCAATATTTTGATAATTTTGCATATAACTCATTTTGCCTCAACAACTCCAATATTGACCTCAGATACTTGACATGGTCATCTTCAGTTCTTGAATATATTGGAATATCATCAATAAAAATAATAACAAACAGATCAACAATAAAGCTTGATCATTCGATTTTAGGTTCATAAGTACAACATGAGCATTGATTAAACCAAAAGGTATAATTAAAAATTCATATTTAATTGAAATGAAGTAAATATTATTTTTGAAATAAAATCATAATATTTGAGTGGAATCAAGAAAATTTTAATGATAAGAAATAAGTTGTGTTCATATATAGGGAATTCACATTTTGAAGAATCAATTACAACGTCAAACACGAGGATTTCTTTTTACATTTTTGTAACAATGTGTGCGCTCTTACTATTAGATCGATAGTAATAATTTTTCTTCTTTTCAATCAATTATATTAATAGTTATTGATATTTATAAAATTCATGTATCAATATATATTGATTTATATACTCTTATTTCCATTAGTTAGATCTTAATCTAGGTCTCCTTTTAGTAAAAAATTATAACATGTTATTTAAAGATACACATTAGATAAACATATGAATGATATTGATTATATATATATATATATAATCAATATCATTCATATGTTTATCTAATGTGTATCTTTAAATAACATGTTAGTATGTTTAGATCTTAATGCTAGGTCTCATTTTAGTAAAAAATTACAACATGTATACACATTAGATAAACATATGAATGATATTGATTATATATATATGTGTGTGTGTGTGTATATATATATATATATATATATGTTTGTATGTTCATGCTTGATTATGATGGAGTCACTCATTTATGATACTAGTGTTAAGGTACCCGTGCACGTAAATAGAAAAAGATATTGATATTAAATTGTCTTAATTGGTATAATTTTTAGACAATACTTTTGTGACAGTTATACATATATGAAATTATATAAATATGTCATTGATATGGTAAAACTCATTTAATAGTATGAAATATAGTAATTGATCATATTCTTAAAATATCATATGTTTTATACTTACTAAAAACTTAACTAACATGCATATTATATTTTTTATTCCTGTAGTACTGTAGTTTAGGAGTGAGTATTCACTAGTTTTGGTTTGCTCCTTATTGTTTTAAACCAACTTTTCATATGTAATTAATTTATTAAAAGATGATCAATATAAGAGAAAATGTTAGAGAAGGCGTAGACAACATATAATGAGGTAAACTTAATTGTACTGCTTTAATTTAATTTCTTTAGTAGCTTTTTCATTTGTTCAATATTAGATGAATATAGAAAACTTAATTCTTGGTGTCCGATCGTCTGTACCTGTCTTGGTTAATTCCAAGCTCTAAACCAGGTTGTGACAGACTCGGCTTGAATTTCACCTTCGTTAGCTGCACGCTGATACTCATCTTTAACATCTTCATCCTCTCTTGTGTTACTGTTCATTTTTTTAATTGTTTTGTACTTAATGAAAGAGATTACTTTCATGTTTGGGCAATTTGATATAATGTATTTAAACCCATGATATTTGAATCACTTCCTGGCTAGGATAGATTTGGAAGTTTTGGCAGTCTGCACCTCTTCCTCGCTTTATACTAGTTTCCTCTCAAGCGGGTTCAATCTGGATGTTTCGTTGGGTATACTCTTCTGCCCGATCCAATGGTTGAATGTTTTGTGAATGACTGGGAGCCCCTCCCCTTGAGTACTCGCCGGTCCAGTAAAGCTGGCCCAAACTCTCCAAGCCGGTCTTACATAGCCCCCTTGGGAAGCGGATTTAGCTGGGAGATGGTTATAAAATTACAAGAGGATGATATTATGAGTGGTCAACGGTGTTTTGATGGGGATAAGCGACACTCGGTGGTCGTACATGCTGAGAACAGCGAGCTAATGGTGAATCAGTTAGGTGCAGATGGCGAGGGGAATCCACCATCTATTCGTAGGCAAGTTACTGACACAATACTTGTAAAAGGAAATGATACAACACTGCTTAGAGAGTATAAATCGGAGAATATAATCTCTCAAAACACTAAAAATAAAACTAGTCTCATATAGCCCATTACAAAATACAAAAGGTCTCCTAATAGAAAGTAAACCTAATTGGATTTATATAAAAAAGACATAAAATGCA